TGCTGAACAGATTTTCCTTTTTATATTTCTTCGATCTTCAAAGAGATTTTTCTGGACTGCATATGTTTAAAATCTCTTTAAAACTTCAAGGCTCCTTCTCTTTTGTATTCCATATCCCTGTTTCCTCTCTCATTTGCCTCCTATGATTCATTTGCTATGGGAAAAGCTATAAGAGGAGAAACACATTAGTGGCTGCTAGAGGTTTGCAGCTTTGGGAGTGGGAGGGAGCCGTCTCACAGGCCCCTGTGAGTAGTTGAAGACCGTGGGATTATTCATGGGAATTGAAACTATTCTTGGAAGGAAGTGCACATGAGTACGCTTCCTCTGTGCAGAAAACAAAACAGATTTCTTCACTCTTACCTTTTTTCAATGCCTAAGTTCAAAAGAGTTTCGAAACAGCGTTTACAGTGACATTTGTAGTGTTTGATTTTATTGCTTGTCCCTGCCAATTTCGAGTGAAACAAGGTAGAGAACTTGTTCAGAGTCAGAGCGCTGTGGCCAGAAGAAACGGTACGGAGGCCAGAACCACATCTGAGCATCTCTGCTTTTAGCTGGCTTTGCCCAGCAGTGTTTGAGGAGTGACGGGTTCCTGTGTTCTCTGGTGTGTGAAGATGTGCCGAGCCCGGGTGAGGGGAGGAGGCCTGAGGAGATTCTCCCAGCAGTTAAATTCATTTTGTTTGATCATCTTTCACAGTGCAAGTTTGCACATCTTCACGTGCCACACAAACCATTTGACTACAGTTAAATGCTCTTTGAATTTTGCATTGTTGCTAGGTAAGACTTTCTGATATAAAGCTGAAATTGGGTATTGGGATGAGGTCTTGCAAATCAGTATTTCTCATTATGTGTTTGGATGCTAAAACATGCGCTACAGGTAAGAAAATGGTTGGTGTTGTCAGTCCCCAGCTCTTTAACATTTTTTACATGCATAAAATTATTGAAAGCCTCATACTTGTACCTTTGACCACACAGAATTTCAGAATAATTTAGACAGGTACCTCTAGAGGGCATCTAGTAGCTAACCTAGAGCATCCCTCTATATATTTCATGTTTAAACCCCTTTGCAGGGGAGGGAAGATGGCTTTCTTCTATTTTAAACATCTGCAATTCTTTTTATTTTTAGGACCAGCTATGTGGCCGTGACCCCACCTTGACAGACGAGCTCATTAATATCCTGACAGAGCTGACGCAGCTCAGCAAGACGACCAACGCCAAGGTGGCCCTGCGAGCCCGGCAGGTAGGGGCGATTCCAGCAGCCCGGCGGCTCCCTGGAGGGTCCGGCTGCCCTTGCCCATCGGATCCGTATCGGGACTTGCTGTTTTGGGAGGTCTCTGCCGCGTGATGCTTGTTGTCATTGCTATGCAAATGTGCAGAGCAGAACACTGCGAGCAGCCCATTAGCGATGAAGATGATTAACCAGTGATTAACCGTTGTGACAGTTGAACCAGGCTGAAGTGCCTTCTTAATCACTGTACGTTTTGGAGTTAAGGTTATCTTCCTCTGTCCCTGCTCCCACTTTGGTTCAAAAAGGAATTAATTGAGGATAGTCTGTGATTTGTGTGACAGAGGGAGTGAAAACGCTATCACTGAGGGCCCTTCTGGCTTTATAATCAGAACCCTCCAAGTGCAGCCTAGAGGCTCAGGTAGCTGTACAGGAGCCAGCCAGGCTCTGTGGTTTCAAATCTGTGTGTAGAGATGATGTGGACAAGAACCAGATGTTCCTTTGCAGTTCCTAAGGAATTATTGCAAATAACTTGTTGGTCTTTTGGGGGTTTTCTTCTGTCTTTTGAGTTGCTTTTGTTAATTTGCTTTTAACCCCAAACTAATTCGGGGAGAGAGGAGCTCTTGATAGTGTCATTTCCAAGGATCTAGTACAGCTGGTGATTTGACTGTCAGACATCCATGTGGATATCATTGTGAGCTTCCTCTTTAGTGGTGTGACTGTAGCCAGGAAGGAGCAAGAGGGCATAATTGTCCCACGATAATGTTAACCCTGAAGTCTGATCACTCATCTCACTCCACAGCCCCTATCTTCCCTCTAACAGTCTTCAGCAGGGAAGCTGACACTTTGGGGGTCTCTCCTTTTATTTCAGTGCCAGAGTGATGAAAATGAATGGGGTGTTTGAAGCTGCTCAGTGACCTTATGTTTCCTTCAGGATTGTGTCTGTGTCCTTGAACCATTCAGAGTCATTGAAGCTCTCAGCAGCACGCTGGGGATGGTGCTGCCGTCCTGGTGTATGTCTTTATGTTGTGCTTTCACTTCATTTTCCCCCTCAAGCTGCCTCTGTATCCTTTATCCTGGACCCTCCTACATGGCCCCAGCGGCTCTCGCCGTGCTTGGGAGCTGGGAGAGGCTCTCTCCTTGCTGGCCTCCCCACAGCTGTTGCTGCCAGATCTGCTTTCCAATTAACAGCTGCTCAGGGCTGCAGCTCTGCAGCGCTGAATCACATGCCCTGATGGAACCTGATTGAAGCTGCTCCTTGTCTCCATGGGGAATGGCCAGTAACACAAACCAAGCAAACAGGCAGATGAGACTGACTGGGGGAAAGAGGTTTGCAGCATCACGCAGGTGCCACCAAATTCACAGGGGAAACCAGTTACCTCTTTTGGGATGGAGCTTGTTGCCTTGGATTTTCCCCCTCCTCCTGATGGACCAGTGTAGCTCCTTTCACTGACACACTTGGCTCTTGCTGTTTTCCAGGTTCTCATTGCTTCCCACTTGCCATCCTACGAGCTGCGTCACAACCAGGTGGAGTCCATCTTCCTGTCGGCCATTGACATGTACGGGCACCAGTTCTGCATCGAGAACCTGCAGGTATCTACCAAACACTTCTCTCTGTGCTTTCTTCTCGCTTAGCTTAAAGTTTCTGCTTTAAATCTCACCCGGAGTCCCAGGATCATTGAGGCTTTAAGTTATTTTGGTCTGGTTTCCATCTAAAGGATGCAGTATGAGCTGGTTTCTTTCTGATAAATACACAGAGAACCTGGGCTGAGAGCTGCCAGGGCTTTCATTCTGCTACGTGCGTCCAGCATACAGTGTGAAAAGATACTTCTTTTCTTTGATTAGAGAAAAAAAAAAAAAGTACATAAATTAGAATGAAGAAAGTAGAATTAAAAAAAAAGATGTGAAAACCGTATTTTCTCAGAAATCTTCGTTTTGACTTCATTTGGGGTATTTTGCTTGATCCTGGTTACAAGACAAGGGAGTTCTTAAAACTCTGCTTTATGCCATCTCTTCTAGAAACTCATTTTGTCTGAGACATCCATCTTTGATGTGCTACCCAACTTCTTTTACCACAGTAACCAGGTGGTAAGAATGGCAGCTTTGGAGGTAAGTTTTATTTCAGCTGTGAAAGGAAAAGCTTTTCATTCCTATTTCTTCATTTTTGTTCGTGTTTTAATCACTTTTACCTTGCAAGGTTAAGGGAGCTATAGGTAGTGCAGAGCTGCATGCCAGCGCTTGGAATCTGGCATTTAACACCATTAATGCCTGTAATTGGCCAAAATTTCAAATACAAATGATCTTTGCTTAAAGCAGATTACATGGTTGAAAGGATTGAGGATGAAGCTGCTAAGGATGGTCAGCACACCCTGTGCCTCGTGGTGATGCTTATCTCCTGCCAACCTGTCCCCTCTCAAATGAGAGTACTTGAATTCTTCTGTTTGAGACACAGTTCAGTCTCTACACTAATTGAGGCATCTGCCTGGTTTTTAATGTTTGTAGGAGTTCTCCTGTGTGTTGTTTGTCCTCTCTTCCTCCTCAGCACAGCTGAGCTGGTTGTGTTTCTCCCTACAGGTGTATGTTCGAAGGGCATACATTGCCTACGAGCTGAACAGCGTTCAGCACCGGCAGCTCAAAGACAACACGTGCGTGGTGGAGTTCCAGTTCATGCTCCCTACCTCCCATCCAAACAGGTCAGCTCATGTATCCCGGTGCCTTCGGAGCTGCAGGTCTTATGAGGGGCTGCTTCCTATCTCAGCAGGGAAAACTGGCAATAGAATTGGTGGAAAAAGGGAGTGTTACAGTGCCTCAAAAAAGCGCAAGTTAATCAAGATAAAACCCTACATTGCCCAGTTCCTCCTCTTAAGCTTAGGAGTTCCCAATTTGGCTTCATTTATATACAATATAGTTTTCATATATTTTCAAATTTTAAGTTCATTTTTAGTGCCTTTCTTCTACAATTACAGTCTGAGCTGAATATTGAGCCTTCCAAAAGGTACCATTCAAGATAGATCATTCAATTACTAGAAATATTAATAAAGAACAGTCAGATTTTTTTCCTCCTTCCTGCAGTACTCCCTGCCAGTCCTTTTTAACTGTTTGTGATCTGCTCTTTGTTCAAAACTGGCCTTATTGGAGAAGCTGGAATCTTTTATAGCCTGATAAGGACCAGTAGCCTTTTTCCTTTTTTTTTTTTTTTTTTTGCCTGGGTACACCAAGATGCATGTATAAGCATATTTGATATAGAAATGTTAACAACTGAAACACTTTGGTTTTCAGTGTTTTTCATAATGTATTTTTTCATGGTTGCTGAAACGTAAAGGTGCAACCAAAGCATCAACTGTTCACTGCCATTCCTTAAAGACGAAGGGTCTCACCCCACAGTGTGCGCTAAAGCCATTAAAAAAAAAGAACTCCTTGATTATCAGAACTTCTTCAGCCCCTGCCCGTCCCAGGGATCCTTCCTTTGCCCTGCGGGACCTCAGGAAGGTGTTTCGTTTTTGTCCCAGGCAGTGCAGAGTGCACTGGAGCCAGAGTCGCAGTGAGTCTCTGTGGCCACCGGGTGCCACTGTTGGTCTGTGCTGGACTGGCGCTGTGGTACCAGTGCTATTTACCTCCTTTGTTTCCAAACATCCTTTTCCTTATTTTATTTTTGGTGGGGCTGGGCAACGGGGTCTAGTCTCGCTTCATTGAGAATCCGTAAGTACATTTTATGAAATGGTTTTCAGAATCTGGTTTGCTAGAAATAAATGACTGTCCTCAACAAGCAGCGCAAAGCACTCATGATACAAATGGAACATGCATTTGGTCTCATCTGTTTCCTGCATCTCTAGAACATTTGTAAATAATTGCATACTATTTTTAGTACCCCTTTATAATGCTCTCTGCGTCCCCGTTCTTTCTCCATTTCCTCTCTTTGCTAGTCTTGGTTACCTCTGTTGCTTGGGGGTTATTTGGCCTGCCCATGCTGACCACTGCTCTATTACTGTGCACAAGCTTAATGGGACAAGGTCAGCTGGAAGAGGAGAGTTGCTACCTGCTTGGGGGAGAGCTGCTTTGTCCTGAAATGTCCTTTCCCCGTTACCCTGAATTTCCTGGAGCAACGTTCTGAAACTCGGTTCCGCTTCTCAACCATCGGTGTTGCTGATGGTTGAGTGAAAACGCATCGCAGTCCCTGTGCAGAGGCAAGCAGACTTGGGGACAAACTGCTGCTTACGTAGGCACGTCCAGCTCCTTTGAGTTGCACCTCCGTATGGTAGTGATGGATTCTGCTCCTGTTGCTTAATGCAGCTTCTCGCAGTGTTACTCCTAGCTGTGCAACTGCTGTGTGGCCAGGGGCTAATGCACAGCAGATAGCAGGAGATCTTGGGGCTTAAATTAGCACAGAGTGTTGATTTAAGCCACCTATAAAGCCAGTACTTAGCTGAGACAAAGACATAGAGCACTAAAATCTCAAAACTGTCTCCGACATTGTCTTGCCTAAGTTGTCTTTGTCATCTTTGGCCATGTTCTGTGTGCACCGTGTGTTTTTCTTGTCTTATGCAGCATGAGCTTTTACACTGAAAAGCTAAAAATGCATTCCTAGGTCACACCTCAAAGCCAAAGGATCCCAGCTGATGGAGCCGCGTGTCTCTTGGGTCTCGGTAGGCTTGGCCTCCGTAGCCTTAGGCCCCACTGAACCCGAAGGGGAACCAAAGAGCCCCAAGACAGCCGCCTTCCGAGCCGGTGTTGTTTGTGTGATGCCACAGAGTTTTCAGTCTTTGATCAAATATGTTGAAGTTTTGGTCCCTTTTGTATCTGACTGATGTTGACTTCTAAGAGCCTGAATTTTCCCGGAGCAAATATTAACGTAGAGAAAATTGCAGATGATAAGAGTTTTGTGTTTGTGGAATCTTTCAGTTCTCTGTCATGAGTATTTAACCTTGGTATGCCCTGCTCCTGGTCTCACCAGGCACAACGAGGCGCTCAGGCTTTGTGTGTTGGCCCCTGGATGGTTTCCATCCGCTAACCACAATAACCCTTTGCATGGAGTCAGGGAGGAAACAGAAACTGTTAAATCTGAATAACAAAGTGGTGGAAACACAACCTGCTTCTGTCGGGTTCGTGGGCAGAACGTTGTTTTCAGATTTATTTGTTTAAATTAACAGAAAATACCCTGACTTAAGAATCCCTACTGATCTTGATTACAAGGGTAAGGCACAGGGAGAAAAAACTTATAATTGAAACTGCCGAGGGCTTTACAGATTGAAAGCTGCTCTCCTTGCTGCCCAGTGGAAGGCGGGTGAGGAGCAGAGCGCAGCCATCTGCCGCCTCGGGCCATCACTGAGGAGCAGAGGGCACTGGGGGAACCTAAAAAACGAGGGGGTCGGTAATGCCGATCCCTGTGCTCTGTGGCCGGGTAACCGGCCTCTCCGCCAGCTGGATCCGGGTGGGCAAAGAGGTGAGGAAGAAGCGAGTCCCGCTCCGGGAGGGTCCTTGCTTCCCGGTGCTCAGGCTGCCCCGCGAGACGGGAGGCTGCTGGACACGTGTGGGAGAGCCGGGCTCCCCGCGTGAGGATGGCTGGGCAGGACAGAGCCGCTGCGAGGCCCTTCTCAGGTGGCAGCACGTGAAGCATCGGGTGCCTTTCGTGGCTTAAAGTCTTCCGTTCAAAGACACGGTGTGTCTAGTAGCGAGGGAGTTGCAGCGTTTTTCAACGTCAGTTCTTTTGAAAATCCCCCTGTCCCTCTGCTGTGCCCTGGGCAGCCCTGCTCGTGTGGGAGCTCAAGGCCCCGGTTTAGCTGGGCCGCTGTGGCCGCAGCCCGTGCTGTGGCAGCTCCCACGCCAGCAGCTCCCTCTCCCCACCTCATGGGACACGTGTGACAACGATACCTCCTCTTCTGTGGCTCTAGATGTTTGTCGACACCCTAGCTGGAATTCCATGTTGCTGATGTTGGAGCTTGAGTGGTGCATGGTCCCCCCCTTCGTTGTCTGCTGATGTTTTATCATTTATGGAGTACTTTCGTGGTTGTCTTTTTGTCGGCCTGTTTCTTTGCTTAGAGGTCAAAAACATTTTGAAGGCTGAAAGCCAGATGACATGGTGCTGCTCTCACACCAATGGGAAAAATCAGAAACCCAAACTTGCCCTCACTTCAGTCAGTCAGGGTTTATAGATACCTTTGGATGGGCTCCTTCCTGCTAGGCTGCTTCATTGTTTTGTGATGATACATTCATAAGATTTGGACGTGTGACAAAATGGAAGTGTTTTCTGTGGGCTTGAGCCGTCGCTCAAAGGCCCCTTGCAGCAGTCGTCAGGTTCCTGGTTCCGAATGTGCCGCGTTGGATCTGAACGTGTGAGGCCAGAGCCGGGCCCTGCAGGTCCGTGGGGCAGCCCGAGGTGCTGCAGGAGGAGGAGGAGGAGGGGAGAGTGGCCCCAGGACACCTGTAAATGCTGTTTGATGTTAATTAGACAGCAGGCAGCAGCAATGTGCTGCGGCTCCCTCGGCTTGCCTGCTTCCAAAGGGCAGCATCTTCCAGCAGAGCAAGGAAGGGGCTCTTGAAGGGGCAGCAAACTGAATGGAACAACGATAATTTTATGCAAATTGGACTTCAGTAGCAGATTCAGCTTGGCTGAATCGCAGGGGGAGTAGAAGAATAAGGAAAGAAAGAGGGAGAGGAAAAACCCAATCAAAATGTATGGTTTGAGGCATGTTTCACAGCCTTCTGTTTAGATTCTTCTGCAGAAATGAAGAAACATAAGAGGAATGCCACTGGTCACAGCCAGTGGAATTGCTCTTTCTCCTGTGGTACTGCTGTTAATAACTACAAGTGGGTTATTCAGCCGACCTCTGCTGATTCCGCTTTGCTGCCTGATTTCAAAAGCTTTGCCCTGTGCTGGCACTCAATCACAGCTTGATATAACCAGTGGCGCTTTGCATGCGCTGCCATCATTTTCATAGGGGAGCTCCCGCTTCAAAAGAGGAGGAGGAGGGGGAGGGAGGCAGACCGAGGCCGAAGCAGGAGGTGCGGAGGGGCTGAAGGGAGGTTGTGCTGCTGCTGGCACAGGAGGAGCAGCCGCCGCCCGTGTGCGCAGCGAGCCCCGGGGAGCTGCTCTTCCCCGCAGGGAAGGACAACGGCTCTTTTTGGAGTTCTGGAGGAGCTGGGGGAGGCGGCAGGAGCCGGGGGAGGCCCGTCGCTGCGGGATCAGCCGCGCCGCGTGGCACCTGGGGTCGCGGTGGGCACAGGCTGGCGCCCACCGGCCCGTTCCGCTCCCCCCCCG